AGGAAGAACCAGCACCATACCTACAGGCTGGGGAACTCCCTTCTCGTCAGTGCAGAGGCAGAAAAGGATCTTGGAGTCATCATTGATGCCAAGATGAACATGGGCCGGCAGTGTGGGGACGCGGTCAGGAAGGCCAACTGCACCTTGTCATGCATCCACAGATGCATCTCAAGCAGGTCCATCTAGTACTTAACTAAGGCTCACTTTTTAGTATTACAACATGTATGTTGTCTTCTAGAGGCCCAAAGTCCACATGTCAGAGAGCTTTCGAGACTAGGGGTTGGCAACCTGTAGTCCATGAGTGGCATCCAGCCTGCAGGCCGTGTCCAGCCCTCAAGAGACTTTGGATCTGGCCCATGTGGCCATGCCTTCAGTGGCAGTCGGCCACAGGAGGCTCCCTGCACTGCCAGGGGCTGCCCTGCCACACTGCAGCTAAGCAGCTTCGTTGGGGAGGGGGCAGGGTTGCCTCTCCCTGCTGCAGCTGAGTGAGGGGGAAAGAGCAGTGGCTGCCCTAATGCCCAAGTGTAACAGGGAACCCCTACCCCTGTTACTAGGTGGGTTTGAGTGGGAAAAGGGCCAGGGATCAGACAGCTAGTGAGGCAATTAGCTGCACCTGGTACTGGGGAAAGAGACAAAAGGTTGAATACAGTGGCCAGAAGGGGGCTGGGTCCCTGAGCTGCCAGGCAAGGAGCTCCTGTATAAATTGGCTGCAGGAGGTGGGCTGGTCTGTACCCAGGCACAGCTAGAAAGTTGTGAAGAACGAGCCAAGGTAAATGCCTAGGCTGCAGGGAAGTATTAACCCAGGGTTGTGTGGAGTTTGTTTTACAGTCATGGCATTGGCATTTAGGTTTTGGCTAGATCTGCTGGTGGGAGCCACAGACAGGGGTGCTGGAGGCTGTTTCTCTGCAATAAACACCAGAGGTCAGGCTGAGAGACAGGGAAAGGAGGGGGCATAGGGACTATTAAGGTGCAAGGGGCCCTAGGAAAGGGGATTGCTGCTTAGGTGAGGCCAAACCCCAGAGGGTGAGGTCTTGAACACGTAGGCCCAGGTGAAGGGTGTGGCCAGACAGAAAAAGGGGGCTGAAGCTGGGACAGCCAAGACACTGACAAGTGCCACAAAAACCTATGGGGTATATCCCCCTCAAAGGGGAAGTATCATGAGGAGGCAAAAAGGCCCCAGGTATGGCCAGAATAGTTTACTCTCCCTGTGACTACAGACACTCAAGTATCACACCTCCCACCCCACCCCCATTTATGTACATAAATAACATCAAAGGTGTGGCAGGAAAGTGCTGGGAGAAGAGGTAGGATTGGGGAGGAACTGGCACATAGGGCATACCTGGACCACATGTAAGATATTAGTGGTTAGCTAAAATACAAATGAAGTATTATATGTTGGAAGTTGTACATTGTTTGCTTCTCAAAAGGTGGGGCTTATAATGTTAAGGGCACTGGTATCACAGGGAATAAAATATATATACAAATATGCACTTTGTGGCACTCTGGAAATCACTCTTCCCTTTGTTGAGAGGATACTTTCATGTTAGGAGGGAAGACAAGTTATTTCAAATACAAACTTTTTATTACTCCAAGAATGATGGCATAAAAAATAAAATATTTTTGAAGAACTGCACAGACAAAATTTAAGAAAAAAACGGTCATCAAATGACAGGAGCACATGGACTTTACTAGACTGTTCCCAAACCTCTCTCATAGAAGATGTCCCATTAATTGTGTCCCAGTCTTTCAAAAGGAAATTGCCAGAATTGGGCACTCCTGAAACCCCTAATTCCTACAGCATGTTTTTTTTTCTACCATGTATACTTCTACACACAGTCCAGTCTGTCTTGTACATGCGTTAACTGAATTATGTACAAATATATGGTTTGTAAGTATCTGGGTGTATCAAGACATGTTTCAATTCTCATCCCATCTATGGAATCTTGAAAGTCTAGCAACAAGTCTAAATAAAAAAAAACAAAACAAAACCCAGGCCAGTGCAGTTGCAGCAACCTAAAGACAAGAATCTGGACCAAAATAATTAATATTTCCAGTTCCCAGAACAACATATTCTCATGTGTCAAGAAACATGGTCATCTAATTGAAATGCTAGGCAGTTTTTCCAGAAATCTTCCACGTTTATTTGAGCCTCTTGACTCAAAGCCAAACAATTATGTAACACAAAACAGTTATGCTGAAGTAAGGCAAATCTCTGCTATGATGCAGGAGGAAAGGAGGAATCATATCACTTCTCTTCTGAGGTTTTCCAGTTTCAGGTTTCACATTTTAAAATCACACTCCAAAAAACAGGACTTGCACAGTGCTTTTCAACTCAACTCTAGAGCTCAATGCTCTACACAACACTTCTATAGAACAACCATCTGTAGATCAAACAAGCAGACATTAAGCTTTTCTCTTTGTTACTTATGCATGATGATGGTTTGAAGTGGTAAATTTTATTATTATTTTTTTAATGAGGAAGTTCAGAAGGGGGAGACTTTGTTCCAACTAAGTCTTTTTCAGTGATAATACCCAGCATTTGCAAAGCACTTCCTACCATCAAAATACTTTACCAGCTACCTCCATCAACTGACAGAAGCAGCTAAGGTAGAGAAGCAAAGCAACTCATGAAAGGGAGTCACTGTTTTGCTGAATTTAGAGTTTAGTCCATGGTTTTTATCTTGGGCTCAGACAAAGAGAAGGGGAAAAGGGGAACAGAAAACTTAGAGACCCATCAAAACACAATATAAACATCAGGAGCAAAATCCTGGGCCTAGTGAAGTCGTTGGGAAAAGAAGCCAAGACTTCCTTTTAAAGATATATATATGAAGTGAAAAAATACACACAAGCTTTTTACAGTCAAGGGAAAATGCCTAAATTATATAAAAATCTATTTCAATATGAAATGTGTAAAATATTGCACATTTTATTCTCTAGTCTCTTCTGGCAACATATGAAATTATCAGAACTCATCTTAGCAGAAACAACAGTTAAAAAGCCAAAAGTTAGCTTTCCTCCCTGTTTAATACAGTTCAAAGAAAAAAATGAAAAAAACTTGAGTTTGTAAAAAGACTGAACAGCTTTCCAGAGTGAGAAATGCACATAGCTTTTGCCTCTCAACTTGCAGTTTCAGTCAGAGGTGCTGCTGTACATATGTTCCTGGTGGGGGTGTTCCTAGGCTGCTTGGTGGACTCAGAATATTTGAGTCATACGAACTTGGAGTAATTCCAAGCATGCCATCATTCTGAGGAGTCTCTCCTTTCAAGAAGTCATCATCTTCGTCTTCAGTTGTATTCTGCACAAAGAAAAGGCCAAATGAGAAGAGAGAGGCACTACAGTGACTTATCGTTTTCACTCTTGAGTTAAATAAATACTTAGCAGAAAGAGTAATCAGAACTTCAAAGCAGCTTTACTAGGGGAGTATTAGTGCTATAAAGAAGCATGTCAAACTCACTCCTGCCCCAGGCCAAATCCACAGGGCCAGCAGCACCTGTGGCAGGTCAGAGTTGAGGCAATGTTGCAGGTCCACAGGTCTGAGGGTGGCCAGTGGCACAGGCTGGCACTCAGTCAGCAATGCAGATCTAGAGGCCTGCCAAAAGGTCCACAACTGTCAGGGTCTAGAAAGCCCAAATTCTGCATCCTCCAGCTTCCAGTAGCCCACCAGGCTACCAGTGGATGAGATGAAACAATTCCATGGGGCAAATGTCAAAGCAGCTAATATAAAAAGGTTAACCAAATCTGAACCTGTATATTTTGACAATAAATTACCTTTTTAATGGGTTTTGTAAGGTCCTGAAGATCTTCAGCACTCAGTTCTTCCCAAATCTGATAAAGAGGATCAATATTCTTCTTTGACCTGAAAACAATACAGATGCTTAATAGACTTGAACCCAAGTAATTGTGAACTAAGCACTTCAGTTTATACATTTCTCTAGTGTGTTTCAATGGATTACACACTTCACAGATATGTCTCTGTAAGGTAGGCTAATCTATCTCCATTTTACAGATGGGTAAGAAGTTACACAGAGAAGATCAAATGGTTTGGCTTGAAAGCAGAGCATGAGAGAGAGATTCAGGCACTAAATCCAGAACTCACAGTGATGTATTTTAACCAAGTAGCTAGTAATCCCTTAGGCAAGTACAATCCTCTTCTAATTTATAACCCGCAGGCTTCTTCACACCATTTTCACTCTTTGGAACAAGGTCTCACTGCAGCCCTTCTTGCACCTTGAAACAACTGTTCTTCTCACAAGAGCTACCAAGCTCATTCTCTTCATGTATTAAAGCAGCCAACATGCATAATGCCAAGCGTATAAACATTCTTGATAAATAAGGCTGAAAAGAGACCATTCACATCTAAAGAGGAAAACAAGCCAAATCCCCTCTTGCACAAGAAGGTATAAGAAACCATCCATTGGATCGCAATACAATGCTTTGTTGTTGCCATCTTGCAAATTAACTTGTTAAATAGGGGTAGCTAAAGAAGTTTTACCTAATCTAACCTCCTACTGAAGCCAGACAGATGGGAAGGTGGACCTGACATTCTATACCCTACAGTGTAGACAGACTTCAGGTTTCAAGCTTTTGGCAGTGCTAAATCTAAAAAAGTCTTAAGTCACATTCTGTACTTCCACATAATACAACAATCAGGTGCTTAAAGAACCAGAAAGACAAATATAATTCAGGAAATCTTGAACAGTGCCTTAAAGTATGAGTTCTCTGTAAGGCAGAAATTAGTATAGATTTCAAATACAAACCTTTTGAGAATGTAAGGATCAAAAGGAAAAAAACTATCAAGTGGATTAGTGCAAGCCTGTACAGAGTCACCACCATCGCTGCTTCTAACGACCGGTAAAAATTGCCTGTTGTTCCTCTCAATTATGGTGTAGCAGAACACCAACTGGTACTTCCTTAAAATAAAAAAGCAAACAAACAAAATGAAGCAGGGAATGGTTACACTTACCAACTACATGGAAAGCAAATCATTTCAGAAGATACTAAAACTGATCAAGGTTTATTTCACTGATATCAAAGTTGTAGCTCAAACTTCCCTTTTCAGTTTGATGACCAACAACAAGTCTTAAACACAATCAGAATACATTTGAGCCCACAGTCTCCTCTCTAATCCCCAACAGAACAAAGGACTGCAATTTGTACCATCATAAAGCAATGAAGCAGTTCTTGTGAACTAGAGCATCTCACTGGATCTGACTGTGACAGGGCACCTACCATGCCTATCACTAAGAAGGGAAGAGGCTGCTTGAGAAGCAGCTTGCAGGTGTGGCAGGGGCAAATAAAGAGTCACCTGACCAGAAGGCGGCGCTTCAAGCATATAAGTCCAGGGCCTCAGCTGGTCAGGGAGTCTAGCCTTGAGAGTCATGGAAAGAGGAGCTCCTGTGCAGCAGGGCTTCTGGGCAACACCTGAGCTGGTGGTAAGCAACTCTGGTGGTTTGTGGAAAGAAGAAAAGGGAAGTCAGGAGGTCCCAGCTGGGCCTGAAGGGAGAGGAGGAGAGGCAAATGTCAACAGGGGCAGGGAGCCTGATGGTCTCAGTGGACCCAAGATAGAGGCCAAGGCCAAACAGCAGGGCCACAGCCAAATGGTCATGAGAGCAAGGAGGATCACGGACCCATAGCTTGCAAGAGGTGTAAGGCAGAGTCAGCTACTCATAGCCCAGGAGGGGTTGAGTGTCAACAGGGTCAGGGAGCCTGAAGGTCTTACTGGCCCAGGAGTTAGGCCAGAGATGGGCTGAAGGCCAAAGAGGGCTACAGCCAGAGACAGGTGGGGCCAGTGGAGCTTGAGAGTTTCAACTGGCCTAGGAGCAGGGCCAGGGCCCAGATAGAGAGGCCAAAGCTTGGGGATCATGGCTGGAGATCAAGGAACCCATAGGCCAGGAGGGGCACATGTCAGCAGGAATAAGTAACATTTCATCAAAGTGTGGCAGGTGAGGAGAAGGGGACAGTACCCAGAGAGAGAAACTAGACAAGGGCTCCAGGGGCATCACAGCCACCCCTGGAGTTGAACCCTGTTACACTGACCTCATTATGAGCTAGTTTCACTTAGCTTGAAATATGCATACTATTATAATGATGACATGATTTATTTTACACAATATGTAGTACTTGCACAAACATACAAGTTTACAAGAAAGTTAATCTTTGAACTATTAGATTATGGTCTACATACATAAATCAACATAAACCGTAGAAAATTTAAACTGGAAAAACAGTTACCTGGTAATGGCTGCAAACAAGTTAACAACAGAAACTAAGCAAATCTTCAGGGGATTCAGCTGACACATGACGATGCGTTCAAAATTTAAGTTCTGCAGGTATGCCAAACCTTCAAAATGACAATTATTTGCAAATAAGTATGCAAGAGTTTCAGACATTGCTTTCCCAGATTCTTAGCTAGTGGTTCTCAATTTGAGGCCAATCCTCAAAATTGTTCATTGGCCACCATATACCCATATTCAATTTTTCATTGAAAATTAAATTATTTTTCATGGCTTTTTATTCCAAGAATAGAGCTGGACCAGACTGTAGCTTACACTGAAGCAGCAGACTACTCTATGCTTAGGCACAGAGGGCACTCCTAATGCCAGGAGCATTGGAGCATACACTAGGGATACTCTAGTCACACGCCCTGCACCAGAGCTGAGGTAAAGGGACAGAACCACTGTAAATGATAATTGATATACCACAAAGGGACACCTCTATCAGATTAAATGCTGGTCAACTAAAGGCACTCAATAGTGGGGCTGTGAGTCTGGCCCACAGACTTTATCTGCTTTGTCTTGCTTAGCTATAGAACAAGCTGCCCTGCTGTCACGTTCCAATACAAATGCACAAGATCCTAGTTTGTTTAAAATGGAGTAAGGTAAGCATCCCAGAAGCCACTTGACTGAACCAATTATTATTTAAATCATCCAACACTTCCAAAGGTTGCAAATGAAATGCGTTTACATTTTCTATTACTGTCTCTTCTAACACACTCACCTTTCCTTAAGTTGCCATCTAAAAGCTGCCTATGGCGGAAAATGAAAGTATAGAATACAGCTTGGCACGTGGAGTAAAACGGTCCATGTAGAGCCACATCACAGTAAGCATTTGTCCCTGCATCCTGACTATCAATATATCTGTGCAGCCAATTAACCAACAGGTCCAGGCATGCTTTCACTGTGCTACAAGGGAATATATTCAAAAAAAAAAGGAGAAAATCAGTCTGGTAGGTGTGAAAGATAAAACACGAATATTTAAGACCTCAGTGTGCACAGTACATACAAATGCAAGTATGGAAACAGTTTTAAAATTAGATTCCATTGCCAGGGTCTTCCTCCATGGCCTTTGATAACCTCATCTTAAGTCTCAACAGATATTTCATAAACCAAGTGCTTGGAAAACTTCAAGAGAATCCCACAAGGAGTAAGAACATAACTCAGACATGGCTCACTGGCAACGTGGAGGACAGGGAGAAAATGGGGCTTAGTACCATTCTGCACTTTCCTCCAGCAGACACCAAACTGTTTGCTTTAAACAAATGATATTTAAATGATCTGGCAAAACTACTTACACAGTTGGAATAAACTTAGCCCTTGCCAAGAAGCTGCCAATATAATTTCCAGCCGTTTGTCTGATCACTGCAGGATTATTTGGATCCTGCAGTATCTTCCAAAGATGGTCTAAGAATGCTTCTGCAAAGACCTGCAAACAAGACAAGGTACATGCAATCCATTAATCCTAAGGCTAATACCATCTCTAAACAGACACCCAGTGCTGAAGCCAACTGTTTAGAGATATCCAACAGAAACTCACTTATCAGAATAAAAAAAAGCTTCCAGGACCAAAAAAATGCCTGTAATTAATCATAATGACAGAGAACAAGTAACATTGAACTGAGCCCCTGTAGGCTTTGCATATTCCTCTTATTATGCTTTAAAGAAGTTCTGTACTTTGTTAAATGCAGAAAATATATTGGCAGACCCAGTGGGTTTTTTTGCTTAAGAAACTAAGGGCAAGCTGTAGAAGAAAAGGGTTAATGTAACAAAGATCCTGGCCTAAATAAAAGGGGTAATACATATATCAGCTCCAAGTCATTTTTAAGCCATGCAAGAAAAGCCGTAATACACTGTTCCGCAGACTCAACGTTCCAGTTGATTTAAAAATTCCAATCACTTGTGATAGAACTGAATAAGCAACCTATAGTGGAGAGGTTAATTATAAGGAATGTGGAAAGAGAGAAAGAAACTAAAGAGATGCATGCTAATGCCCCTTTCCACTCCCTAGGTATGGAGTGGAATTAGGATTTCAGTTGAATCAATGTAACTTGACAACTCCTTAAGCTAAAAAAGGGGAAAAGGTCTAAAATACCATAGAAGAGCTACATTCTGTAAAGCCTATGCTGTTACTCACCAATTTAAAACTGCAGATATAAAACATGAAGTACTGTACGTGACACAAAGCATGGGTTGGTAAAATGAGTTTGTCAAAGATGGTAATTAGATCCCGATATAAGCCTTTTGTATTGTTGATATCAAGTGTGCCTGTAAGACAAAAAAAAAGATTCCAGTGGCTCTTTGCTCTTCTCCAGAATTGCAATGTGTATTTAAAGAAATGGTGCCAAGCAGATCAGTCTCCAAACATAAGGAGGTCTTAAAGACATAATATCACAGAAATACTTCCTGATATTTGAGCTCCAAAAGATTTTTTTGTATCTATGTATATATTTGCCAGTGCCAAAAGACATGCAAACATTACAATACTATGTCACTGAAGTGAAAAAGTGAATAGGTAGCTTAACGTTATCAGAACATGGGAGGAAAGGGGGAAAATCAGAGAGTAAATCTGATTTTTAGACATTCTTTCTTGTTAAAAAATCTACAAGGTTTAATATCAGAAGTTTAAGTACAGCTGTCCATCTATCACTGTTCCTTTAAGAGACAAAAAGTTAGGACTTTCCTTTGCATTTCAATAAAGGATTTAAATTCCAGTTTTAACTAGTGATTAGTAGGGCTGTGCAAAGCTTCGGTTGCCGATTTGATTTGGTGGAGATTCAGCACAATTCAGTGGCCGAATTGAATCAGGAGACCCTTTAATCTCTCCAAATTGAATTGGAACCCTCCAAATCAATCTGGAGAGATTCAGAAATATTCAACGATTTAGACATAAGACAGAGTTTTAAATGTTTTTTCTACATACCTCAAGGTACCAGGTGGCTTGTGAATGCTGAGATGATGGGACAGATGCAGCATCCCACAGGAGCATGGGGGGATCCCCAGCGCACTCAGCAGCAGACCCAGAAGTGGACCACAAAGCACTTCCGGTTGCACTTCCACGTCTGCTGCGGAGCGTGCGTGCACGCCCTCCTCCCCCCCCGGGCAACTGGTTCCAGTCCACTTTTGGGTTTGCCACTGAGCATGCTGTGCTCCTGTGGGATGCTCCATCTGCCCCAACATAGCAGCGTTCTTGAGCTGCGCCTGGTACCTCAAGGTATGTAGAAAAAGCATTTAAACCTGCGTCTATGGCCGAATTGCTGATTCTCTGAATCAGCATTGAATCTTCAGATTCGGCCAAATCAAAAAGGACAGTGATCCGAATTAACAAACTGAATCACTGTCCCTGATTCGGGCCAAATCGAAATCTGAATTGAATATGGCCCATTTCACACACCCCTAGTGATTAGGTGGGGTTTGTCTACCTTGTATATACAAAATTGTAAAAAGGAATCTATCATTCTGATTATCAAAGTGAATACTGAAGAAGCATCAAACATTAAATCTGACTTATGACTCCTCAGCAAGTTCCTGAAGCACACAACATTCACCTTAAGAAAACTTCACAGTGCTAATACAAGGCAGCTAAGGGACAATATATGCCCCATATGTGTATGTGTGCACTCTCTCTCTCTCACACACTAGATGAAAAACAGGAAGGGTTCAAAATGACAGATTATGAGAGATTTCCCACTTTTGGTTGTTCATGCCAGTCTGGCAAAAAGAGGCTGGAAAGCCAATGGATCTCCCCACAAGGAAATTCCCACTGAAAAAGAAAACAGTAGCTCCTACATTAACTCTCGCATAGTGCCTGGTATAAGGGACATGTCAAGCTATGAAGTGAGTGCTAACAGGAGATACACGAGAGATGACTCGTGGAAGTGAAGTAGCACTCTAAGCTAGTGCACTAGTTTCTTGGTGACAAAGCTAGTTGCCAGGTTTTAAAATATTACAAGGCCTTGCAAGAACAGGAAGCCAAAGCTGAGCCTTTGCATCATGCTTCAACTGTGGTTATGTTAAGGAGATGTGGGATACAGCTGAAAATCTAATCTATGTATGCTGCTGGAAGAAGAATTCTACAGATGACAACCAGATTCTCATGGTCCAGTCCTGCAGTAGCAGAACTCTCCTCATGTCTACTTGGGGAGTAAGGGGGGGCAGGGAAGGAGGGAAAGGGAGGAGAAACATGTATGATCCATACTTTATTACCATTGACATAGCAGATCTCTTTTATATAAGTAAACAAAATGGTCATCAAAATATCCAAGCGTTCTGCCAGAGGATGGGCCATCACATCAGTCTCACTGGAGGCACCTTGGTTTTCTTTTTCTGTTTCTTCATCTTCCTCCTGTGAGATAACGCAGCAATTAAGGATTTCTCTTGCATACTGCAAAAACCCCTAACTTTCTCTATTCCTGTCATAAAGCTTAGTATTATGGATACAATTTTAAAAAATAATCACTGTACAAATGCATACAATGATCACTGCTTTATTGACTATGAGCTTAAGCTTTGATCTCTGCATTAGAATAGATATGTATTTGGATTCATTTCTGGTGTAGATTCGTTTCCTTTAAGAACACATATTGGATATGATGAGTAAATCTCAGACACAATGAGCGGACTAACAATGCAATTGTTTTCAAATATTTACTTTTTCTACCAAGTTTCCAATATTGTACAAGCTGAACTGGACTTAATTTTTAATGGAAATAAACCACACAATGTCAGTCCACAGTTTATTCTGAATTGTAGATTCTTTGGATTTAGTTTTCTTTCAACAGAAGATCAGTGTTGTTTAAATGGGAACTGACAGTGACAATACAGTACCTGGTATTTTCTCTTTCAATGCCTTATCCTAATAACATCAAGTATTATGTATGGGAAAGGAATCAGGTTTCAAAGACAAAAAGCTAGTTAAGCTCTGGGTGTTATCTAAAGTTCAATGGAGAATTGTACTCTTGTTTCTGCAGAAGATTTTGACATCTGATTTAACTTCAGTTAAAAACAGAATTCCAAAATTGTCTTGGCTTTGCCAGGAGCTTCACAAATCAGCCTGGTTAAGAGTCAGGCAACTTGGGGAGCCAGGTATCTCTGAGAGCTAGCACTCACAAACAGCCAAGAGCCTAGAACCCACGGCTGGCCATTAACAGTCCATCTAGCAGTCACAGCAGAAATCCCACTGGATTTCTGGGAGACTTTCACTGAGATCAAATTGGACCTTCAAAATGTTGCTGATCTGTCAACACTGACATTTCCAAATGGAATATTTCAACTGAATTATTCTGACTATCTTTAGTGGTGATGATTTGGGTGCTGTGTTTCCCCATTAAGTAATTACATTTGTACCTATTAAAATAATAAAGAGGACAAAAAGCACAATTTAGTTGAAGCTTCAACATTTTCTGACAGTCTAGTTTCTGACATTACAATATTTTATCCCCTTAAGGCTGTGTATCATTGCCACTTAAAGTATTACAGTAAGTTTTCTTAATTTTTATTTAAAAAATTAGTAGTAGTGTCATTAAGACAGCCAACCATGTCAAAAAGTCCTTCTTCTGTGGTTTTTTCCACACTACCAGGGGCATTAGCATTTTCTTCAGCATCCTCAATATCCTGTCGTGGTGTGCTTACCTATATATAAAGATAAGAAAACAGTTTTGTTGGTATTTCTTTTTAAAACAAGTTTGGGAAAAAGTAACCACACTATTTTTTAAATATGATATTGTTGACAGTATGATTGTAGCATTTTGGGTCTAAAAATGTGCCTTTGTTCACATTTCTATGGCACAAAGGAGAAACATCAAATACCATACATATGTAAAACTATAATGTAGGATGGAAATTCAGCCTCATATGATAATTTAAGTGGCTCAATCTTAAACCAACAACTGACTGTATTTAATATTGTGCCTCAACAAAAACTAACAGTCGCACCATAGTTGGCATTTAAGAAATAGCCATATTTTAAAAAGTGATTCCACACTTACATCCAGCTTCAATAGTTTTTCAACTATAAGTTCCAGAATTCCAAGTCTCAGAGTTGGAAGATATACAGTAATTCGCAGCAAGTTATGAACATAATATTCCTGTAATACATTATCATGAATTGGTTTTGATTGTTAAGACAGTCTCATTTATTGTAATTTCTAGAATCCTTGAAAGGAGCAAAACTAACTACAGAAGTACCAAACCAATAAACACAATATCTAAAGTTCTGAAGCAGAAATGGAAGTTGAATATATTACCATTCATTCTAAAGATGGCTAAAAACAAGTTAATGCATAACCCAAACCTCATCATGCTTAAGAGATAGGATTTCATATTAAAACCCCCCCTCCCTCTATTTTTCCCCACTATCCCCATCCCAATCCCAGTTGCCCTCTCAAGCTTCTAGGTCTAAGTTCCCATGGATCCTTCCCACCAGTGACTGAAATGTTTTGACTGAAATTTTCCAAAAACATCGCCTGAATCAGGCAACCAGCAAGGAAGATTTCTATCCAATGATTAGTTTCTCAACATCAGCAACTAAAAAGAGGGCATTTGAATGAAAACTCTTAATAATTAGTAGTAAATTATATATATGTACTAATATAAATGCAGGAAGCTATGGATGAAAAATGCATCATCCTTGTTGAAATTTCCCCACAGCATTCAAATCAGGAAAGAATTTTTTGTATGCTGTGTGAGCTGCTGCATCTGTATGGAACTCTGCAAGGAATCAATTATAAAATCTATAGTATTTTTCTAATACTTATACATTTTGAAGACAGATTCATGGCTCTTACCAGGGTACTTTCCGATTTATTAATGAACGGAAAGTTTTCCACAAGTATTGGCAGAAGAAACAACGGTGTTCTGCAATAAAGATACCAAGAACTTTACCCAAAACAGAAAAAAAAGCAAGTACAAATGCTAAAATTTCACCAAGCAGCAAACTAAGCCAGCAGACAATGTATACAGGCAGCAGTACAGAGACTTCTCTGCATGCAACACCAGGCAGTATGGGGCCCAGTTTTCCTTTGATTCAGTACATCCCATGGTTTGATTTGTTTGAGAATTAATAGGGTTGTAACTATTGATGCTTAGAAATTAGTCAAATTTTAGAGTCAAATAGATGCATCATTCCAAAGTTGTTATATTACAAAGAAGCCTCAAGTTAAATGCTAGTATTGCTCACCCAGTTAGCTTAAAGTTTGTCAGTTGGTAAGAGCTATGTATTAATTGAAGGGCAAACAAAACACTGTGGGATGCTATACTTACAAAGGCACATATCTTGCTACAGTTTGCAGTGCTCTGTGACATGCTTTAAAGTTTCCAGAAAGGTCTATGAAAAGAGAAAAAGTTAATTACAATTAATTACCTTAATCAAGTTAGTAAGTACTTTCTATTAACTATCCATTTTTAGTTTACCTAGGAAATTACATTTGCCAAAGTTATTTATCTGAGCCAAATCTCCTTATTGCCAAAAAAAAGTTTACAAGTAAATACCGAACTACTGTCAAAACAAGGTAATACTACATTCTCCACAACACTGATTTTCAGTTATTTGAGGTCCGATTAAATGCTAATGAAGTCCCACATTTTACTAGATTTTCTTAATTTTTTTAAACTACAACTTCTGTAAAATCTTGCAGACATGAGCATCTATAAAGGTTCTTTGCTAATCTACTTCAGTCATGCAGCAAACTAAACCATTAAAACTACGGGTGCAATGATAAAAGATTTTCTTGGCCAATACCAATAGCCAATGATTAACCAACCATATCAGCTGATGTCAATCTGATAATCGATGTTTAGTAATAGTGCAAAGCATTTTAAATTACTGGCCACCAGGGAGAAGCCACTTTTGCAAAGGTGCCTGGTGCCTAGTGTCATGCTAAGGAATTAAATTGTCCCTGCCCGCGCACAAGCCAACTTCTCCATGGCAGCCCCTTTGTTGCTGAGTGTGCACCCTGTGACCATTCCCTAGTGTTCCCTACCCCTTCTGCTGCTCACCAGGACCTGTAGTTTGCCACAGGTTTGGGCTGGCAGCAGGGCATGGGGACCAAACTATGCTCACCAGGGTGCTCCAGGCACATGGCCGTAATTATCCACTATAACCATGGGTGTCTGGTGCCTCTTGAGTCAGGGCGGGCATGTGCCCCACCGCTGACACCAGTCAGCAACTGAGGGAGGGAGGGAGGGGAGAGAAAGAGGTCCCCTAGTGGCTGATTTCACTCACCATAAGAGTGGCTGCGCTGCTTCCAGAACTCGTGTGGCCACTTCCGAAAGCAGTGTGGACGCTTTCGCTGGCAGCCCCGCTCCCCAGCCAGCGCTTGCGCCGGGGGGGGGGGCCACCGGTGCTCTCATCTGCCCACCAGCTAAACGGGGAGTGCGGCTGGGTGCACCAGCACTCTCAGGGGGTGCACATGCACCCCCTCTGCTTCACCCCTGGCTTCAACAACCAAAAAAAGCTGAGAGTCAGTAAGGTCATTTCTCCTTTTAAATCAGTGCCAATCCAACAGGCAACCAATATAATGGTACACAACCCTAATTAAAGTGGTTTTAACTACCTGAAGGGTGGTTCCAAAGAGGTTCCCAGTAGTTGCAGATGACAGAACAAGGAGCAATGGTCTCAACTTGCAGCAAGTGAAGTTTAGGTTGGATATTGGGAAGAACTCTCTCACTAGGAGGATGGTGAAGCACTGGAATGGGTTACCTAGAAAGGTGGCGGAATCTCTGTCTTTGGAGGGTTTTAAGGCCCAGCTCAACAAAGCCCTGGCTGGAATGATGTAATTGGGGATGGTCATGATTTGAGCAGGAGGTTGGACTAGATGACCTCTTGAGGTCCCTTCCAACCCTAATTTTCTGTGATTCTAAAATATTGCTAAAAGTTGTCTTCAACATTTATATCAATACTATTTAGTAAAGGACTTAAGATACTGCAAAAACCCAAATCTACCTGAATAAAATTAATAAATTTAATTCCTTATCATGACACTAAAGCTTTGGAATAGAAAGTCAAATTTCCCAAGCATTCACCTCAAAGGATTTGGAAGTACCCAGGGCCAGGTGATGATGCACTTAATTTCAATAGAAGTCATGTGCATTCAAGTACATGGGGTCCTCCTACTCTTCAGTGTGCATGGGTTCATGCAGGTTTTGTACCAATACAATTACATTACAGCAGCAATGAAAAGTTCTGCATAGAAGAAGTAATACAAATAGCAGCAAACCACACTGCTTGAGTACTCACTTTCTTCATCATCATCAGAATCTGAAAAATCCACACCATCTTCCCTTACGATTACTTGAGCTGGTAAGAAAGAGAACTATTAGTGCATAACTATAAAAAGTGTAGAGATGATAGCCACAAGTTAAAGTAACATCAGAACAATATTTTCACCAGAACTACCTGGTGAAAACCCACAATATCTACATTACATCAAAACAAGAAAAGAAGATTTCTTTTACTCAAGAAGCCAGAAAAATTTTACACACTATATCTAGTTTTAGGCTAATTTCTTATAAAATTTGACTTTATCCAAATTCTCTTACTCCAAGTTATTTTAGTAAAAAGAGTGTGAATTATCCCATTTAGAATAAAACGAATTAAAAACTTACAAGGTACAAAATGTGAGACAATCATGCGGAGGCAGGGTCTAAGATAGATACTTTGTGCTGATACCAGGTTACCCAGAAAGTCTAAATATTCCTCCACCACATCCTGGCTTCTTTTCAACCATGGCAGCTTCTGCAGGCAGTTAGAATAATGATGTGAAACATACAGACATTTTGAGATTAAACATTTATTTCTATATATTATGAGTGGTGACTTACCAACAAAATGCTGACCAGCTCCTCCACATCTTTTGTCAAGTACACAACAGAAGCTTGGAATTCATGCAACCAGTTAATGATCTGGGCATCCTTATATAAGCAGACAATAAAGTAGAGCAACTGCATTAATATAAAAACCTTTAAAACCCAAATAAACATGAGAATTATGATTAGGGAGGCAGTTTCTACACCAGCATGTTAGGAATGTCACCCACTACCCTTCCTCCTGCACAAGGCACACCAAAACCAGAGTAGAGAAAGGTGGAAACTGCAAATCCACCCACAGTTGCTGAACACAGTTCTCTTTCAAAATCCAAGATGAGTGGATTTATCACACTGAATGTAATAGCTAAGTAGGGGAACTACATGGTACTCTAGACACTCCTTGTAGACCTAAATCTAGTCCCAGTCCTTCCAGCTGCTGGGCACAAGGAACCCTTGGACATATCACCCATCTGTTCTCTAAAAGGAGGTGACTTTGTGCTCCAACTGTCAATTAGTTGTGCCTAAAGTCCTTTGCCTGAAAGAAAAAAAAAGCCTGACATCTTATTCCAACCATTGTCCTTAAACAGACGTGGGTACACACCTGTGATCCTATTCCAACCTTCTCAAGCCTCTGCAAAACAGTTACTGCAAAAAACGGATAGATCTTGTCTCTTACTGACTTTTGCAACTTAGTCGTACGACTAAGATGATGGCATGTACAAAAGTAAGCAAGTTAACACTTCTTCAGAGACTTGAACGAGGTCCAGCAGGATTACACTTGGAATAAGCAGAATAGGATCATTCCCGAGTCTGGAGCAGGTGCTGAACTAAAAGGATAAGTTTAGAATTATCAGGGAATTGCCAGGGAAACACAGCCTAAAACTCTGTGGTCTGGAAGGAATGGAATATAAGCTGCCACCTGAATAAATGTAATAATAATGGCCTGACTCCAAGCGGAGTGCTCTCAAAGCCAGGAGGGATCAAAGGTGTAGCTGATCTGGAAACTGACAAGACTTCTGTCACTGCAAAGTTAACACAGAGCAAAGATATCTGAAAGCCAAGAAACACTTCCTGAGAACTGATCAAGCACCAAGAAATCTATTTGAGGGCGGTTTAAAATCATGTTTAAAACGCAACGGCCATACTTTGCCTCATAATTAAATGTACTCCTATGAAACAACCACAACTATCAGAACCCTCCACTACAAAAATGTTTCACCTTTATATCCGGATCTGACAGCTGATGCTTTAACAACTCAAAGTCAGCAGTTTCTCCCTGGAGTGAGCGTGAAGGGGAAAGAAAACAGAGGCACATTCAGTTTCCTGCAACAGAGCACAGCTCGGGTCCCGCGTTCCCCATCTGAAATACAAGCTTCTTCCTCTGTTACTAAGGACAGCTTAGAAGACCCCTGGCAAAAGCCAGAAAAGCCATAAAGCGGCAGCAAGAGTTGCAGTTTCTGTCTCCCCTGCTGCACCCTCCCAACTGCTAAAGTCTCACTGGGATTTCTCCAGGGGGCAACTCCCTCTGCCCACCCATCCCCTACGTTTCCTCAGAGAAGCCCGGGGAAGCAGCCCGCCAGCACCCCCGGGACCGAGGGCGATGAAGGAGGGGGGAAGAAGCAGCTTTTCATCATCCCCGAGACAAGCCTAGGCACCGTCACCTGCTCGTGCTTCAGCAGGACGTCCCTCAAGGTCCCGCCGAACCGAACCGTTTTCCTGAGCGGCGAGCCGAGGAACGCGCCTCCCTCCATGGCCATAACGGTCAGACCGGCCGCCTCGCGTGCAGCCCACGGCCAGGTGGGCGCGGTAAAGACACCCTCACCCCCGGCCGCCGGGCCCGTCCTGCTCCTCGCCGCCAGCCGCGCGGCCGGTCCCCGCCATACCTCCGCCTGCGGGCCGGAAGCAACCGCGGAGCCCCTGGGAAGTGACGCACGGCCCCTCTACCAGCATAACTCGGCTGGCACTTTGGCAAGGTAGCCGCTCTGGTTTTTCTTCTCGCTGCCCGTAGGAGGACTGGGGGGGTGGGGATCTTGGCCAAGCTCGAGGCGCTGTGGGAGGTGACGCGTTCTCCTCTCCCCCTCCAGGTTTTTTCCTCAGAAGTGTCCGGGAGCCCCCATCGCCCCCCGTTTGCGCCGCCCGGCTCCTTCCCCTCGCCCCGTGTCCGAGCCTCAGTGCCAGGGAGCTGGGCCCGGGCCGGTTCCCGGGGCCCAGGGCAGCAATGTGAGGCATCCCGTCCTCAGCCGGGGCAGGTCAGGAGGGGCTTTGGGGACCTTCCGTCCAAAAGAAAAAGGGGATCTCGGACTAAAGCGCCCCCAAACTACTGCGCCTAAATTTAAAAAAAAAAGTCATGATGATAGAGCTGCAATTTCCATTATTGAGCAAAATCACATCCTGCCAGGACTGAAAAGATTTGAGATACACCAGGAAAAATGTTCGTGGCAATTCCAGACGCTACGTTATAGGTAAGAACAGTTAATGGCCTGAAATGACCTCCGTAGCTTAGGGGTAATAAGTTGTAACAAAAAAATAATGTACTTAAGACGTACACAAAAACTAGAACTATTGGTTCCAAAATGAGACCTTTTATTAGACCAACTGGTAAATCGCAAGAAAATTGTCCTTTTTCTGCAAGCTTTCAGGATCAAAGTCCCTTTGTTAGGCTCTGGGAACAGTATAGATGGTACAAGATGGTAAAAAGTCCCCATAGGTAGGAAATAAACTTCATTTCTGCACAGAGGGAGCTGAAGACACAAGGCTGTCCCTCAGGGTCCGTGAGAGGGTCTTTGCCGTGAGCTGAGCAGCTCTTCGATGTGTAGATCTGGTAGATCTATGCATCATTTTGTACTTGCAGCACACTTTCTAGCTGAACTCCTGCTCCCTACCAATCCTTTCATAGTATCTGATAAAGTGAGCTGTTGATTACAAAAGCAAATGCATCTCTGAATTAGTAGATAAGGCTTCTCTCTGCCCTGCCTTCTGCCCGGAGCAGGCATGGCAGGCATACTACAGCATTCCAGCAACTGGTATAAAGCCATGTGATTCTGGTGCCTTTCCCACTTTTAGTATTCAAAAAACACACCGCTATTTATGATGAAATATCACTGAGTAAATTTGCTGGAGAGGCAAGCTAGCTGTTCATTTCCTTTAAACCCCAAAGAACAAATAATATGCTTATTCTCCAGGTCATTCACCTAAAATAGCTCTAGCAATTTGCTAGATTATGCATTAGGCTTTGTTCTTCAGTCCATTGTATCTTTGGTTACTACATTCCAGCAGGTATGGGGGCAGTCTGTTTTGAAAGAAAGTACAGACCATGCAGTCAGAAGTGGTCTGACAAAGTTAGTGCTCTCAGTTCATTTTCTGGTGGATAAATGTCCACATTAAAAGAACAAGTTGAAGTAATGACTATTTGCAGCAAAGTTAAAAAGATTGAATAGGTCAGGGGTGGGCAAAATGTGGCCTGGATGCGGCCCACCAGGCCATTCTATCCGGCCCATGGAGCTCCTAAAAATTTAGAAAATTAATATTTATTTGCCCCTGGCTGTCTGTCCGGCAGCCTTCAATGGCTTGCCAAAACTCAGTAAGCGGCCCTCCGCCTGAAATAATTGCCCGCCCCGGAATAGATAAACTACTGTATTGCAAGGAAATTGTTACAATATGGTTGATGGCTGTTTTTACAACATCTTGTAGACAGAATCAAACTGAACTCCTTAACTGTTTCCCGTGGGTTTCTAATTGCTTCGTGTTAGGGTTTGTCTTCACTGTAACATGGAATTGTTCTGCAGTTAGGTTGGGAGCAGCCATGTTCTAAACATGATTCTGTGTGTTCTGCCATGGGTAGCTGTCAGAATGACGGAGCTAACAGCTTGACCTTTGGTCCTTCTAGAATGATCACACGTAAGGAATTGTAAGGGCAGTGGGGCAAAGTTTGCAATGCCACTGCACTGACACTTTGATAAAAGAAGTGATTTCAATCATGAGCCTGTCCCACTAGCATGAAGCTGTGTGGCTTTTTGGGAACAGTTTGAGAAGCTAGTTTGTAACAATAAAGAGAAGGCTGTAGCAGCTTCCATGTAGCTCCTTTTATCCTGCCATGCCATTTTTAGCACCACTATAGGTTACTCAGCTACCAATACTTTGTGACAAGCAAACTGGAAGAAGTAAAACATAGTTGAACTTACAGCATTATTGGTCATTCTGAATCAATTTCTTGCTGCCTCCACAGAAAGTCTAAAATACTTGCATAGAAATTGAAAACAGGTATCTTTGAATGTAAAGGTTCTTGCCTATACAGTACTAAGTTACAGAATGCAAGCTTTATGAAAGTCCTGCATTTCAAAATAATTAAGCTATTAATTTTTTGTTGACTATAAGGCAAACTTATTTTTTATGGACCCTAACTAGTCAACTCCTTTGAAGATTATCTCTCTTTGCTGCAAACTCTTTAAAATATCCTGTTGACTATTAAAACTATTTTTACTGGATTCAGTTTCCTAAACTAAAATACAAGGCAGCTTTTAAATTATGACAACAGTTTGTGCTTGTACCCTATAGCTTGACTGTCTGAAAAACATAGTTTTAAATATGCGTTTTATTTTAACCATCCAATTCCCTGATTTAAGGTGCTAGCCATGTTGGGTTTTTATTCCAATATCAAGTATCATTAAAAACAACAAGAGTTACAAGAAGCAAAGAGAAGCGGTAAGATATAATACTGAAGAGATGTTTGACTACTATGTGATCTGTCCTGGCAGATAACAAGTTCTGTAATTCAGAATTTGCAAAACAACTGTTAACTGCAATTTAAAGTTCTCTCTGATAGCATAAGTTTTAACATGTTACTAAACTATTTTACATTATTTCAGTCCATCCTGACTAACACTTTATTTTTTTTCTCCGTGGACCTACTTTAAATGATTGTAGTGATCATGAAAAAAATGGTATGAAACACTATTGCAGGAGAGGGTATTTAGGACCTCCTAGTATAGGGGAAAAACACACAAAATTAAGGGGAAAAATAGATAACTAGTAATATCTGACTGAAATCTCATTATATAGTGCAGCAGGTGAGAGCTGCAAACACCCAAATTTATATTTATTAACTGAGCCATAGTGGTGGGGGAGAGATGATATACATTAGCAGTAATGGGTAGATAGAATATTTCATAGAGATAATACATTAACATAGCCAGAGAATTATTTTTATTTAAAATAAGATGGCTATCCAAGTAAGCTAATTGTACAGTCTGTACCAGGGTTGGCCACTCATTCTGGGAGCCACATCTGAAGTTTATGACTCAGACAGTGGAGGGGCTGAGTGACCCAGAATGGAGGTGACCACCCTGTACGGCTGAACTGGTCTGGCTTTCCCCGCGGGGAGCACGCCCCAGGGTAAGCAGCATGGCTGCAGCCCAGTCAGCCCTGGTGCCTGAGCCAGCTGTCCCAGAGGGAGAGAAAGAGGGAGGAGGGCGGGCTTGGGGCACACCCCCCCCGGGGAAAGCCGCAGCAGCGGGAGGTGCCAGGCTGTGCTGTGCCGGGGAGCCGCCGTGAGAAGCGAATGGCCAGTTTCTGGAGAGCTGCAAGTACTGTGTTGGCAAGACAAGGTAGCTGCAAGCCCATGAGCAAGACATGGTAACTGCAAGCTTGTGAGCTGCAGTTTGGCAACCGTGGGTATATACCGTTAAAATTAGCTCCATAGGAACTCTGCTTCTCTTCATTGTTTGAGAAGGCATCTTCATCTTTCTCCATGAGAGACAAGTGCCAATCCAACATCTTTGGAGAACACCTAGAAAGTCATCAGATTTGAGTGATTTCAGACCAAGGTCCAGGAAAGTGGGCCTCCTGTGCAGTTGTGAAATATCTTCCAACTAATGTTTACAGGAGTCCTGTAAGTTCAGTCAGGCAATGGCATAAAACCCTATTTTCTTTCCACAGTGACCAAAAATGTCTTGGAAGTCAAATCGTTAACTCTTTAGTGTAATTTTCAGCACAGAAAATTATACTTCCATATGCACGATTTTTTTCAGCAATATATAGAGACTGCAAAATTGAACACCAATTTAAAATAGACAAATGTCTATAAATTCCCAAACAAAAGCTACATTACAATGTCGTTTAAAATTGAGAACATACATCAGTCATGAAGATAAAGTACATTTTAGGGGGACTCTAAGTTTTATAGAATAAGTAATTAAACTAATTAAATACCAAACCAAAGTAAAAGTCAACCAAAGAAATGTATAGGTAAAGCACCTGAACAACCGTTACCCAGTAGACACCATGCAATAACTACAGGCATACCTCGGAGATATTGCGGGTTCGGTTCCAGACCACCGCAATAAAGCGAGTCACACAAATTTTTTGGTTTCCCAGTGCATATAAAAGTTATGTTTACACTATACTGTAGTCTATTAAGTGTGCAATAACATTATGTCTAAAAAACAATGTACATACCTTAATTAAAAAATACTTTATTGCTAAAAAATGCTAACCATCATCTGAGCCTTCAGCGAGTCGTAATCTTTTTGCTGGTGGAGGGTCTTGCCTCGATGTTGATGGCTGCTGACTGATCAGGGTGGTGGTTGCTGAAGGTTGGGGTGGCTGTGGCAATTTCTTAAAATAAGACAACAATGAAGTTTGCCGCATTGATTGACTCTTCCTTTCACGAAAGATTTCTCTGTAGCATGCGATGCTGTTTGATAGCATTTTACCCACAGTAGAACTTCTTTCAAAATTGGAGTCAATCCTCTCAAACCCTGCCACTGCTTCATCAACTAAGTTTATGTAATATTCTAAATCCTTTGTCGTCATTTCAACAATGTTCACAGCACCTTCAATTTGTAAAAAACGCAATATCTGCGAAGCGCAATAAAGTGAAGCGCAATAAAATGAGGTATGCCTGTATACAGTTAGAAGTAGTTCCTAATAGTGTTTTTGATCCTACATTAGATAAAGAAATATTTAAAATGCACGCTAGTTTTCTTCCCCTCCTCCACCCATCCTCACTAGATTACTGTAAGGTAAAGTTAAGGTTACTTGGATGCCCTTGATAGTTCCATACCTTGAATGTGTTTAGTTTTCTTTTACATATAAAATTTAACGCTGAATTTTTCTGAGCTTCTAGCACTTCATCTGGAGATAACACTGATCTTCCTGTGATGCCTTTTAGCCTAAATTACTGAAGTATTCTCTGAATGTTAACATTGTTTTTTGTCTGTTTTCTTTTTTAAATTAAGGAACCTTCCTGTATGTGATTCACCAGTTTCCCCATCTCTTAAGCTATGTATCTTTTTACAAATAGCCTTCTTTCTTTACACCCATTTATTTCCCTTTCATCATCTCTGTTGATAAGATCTAGCACAGCTAGTAACTTTTGAAAATAATAATTTAAGATTTATGATAATTTTTATTGGGCTTTTTACGTCTAAAATCTGTTCAACAGATATTGTATAAAACAGCCTTCTCTGGAGAAGCGTATTGAGTTGCTCTCTTTCAGGGAATGATGGCAATTGGGGGTCATCTTGAAAGAGTTTGAGTCAAGCTGCCCTGAAAATAGTAGGCTTTCCAAAGCTTTCAGGAGACAGAATAATTGTATGTATGGAAGAGGACTTATCCTTTTTGTAGCCTTAGTCTCATTAACAGGAGACAGGTTTGTAGGGACCTTCCTTGAAATGGCTATTAGAGGTGCACCATTGTGAACCATGAGAGGGGGCAGGTTTTTATAGAACTTCCTATGAAAACTGCTCGTTAACTTAAAATCCTTTTTAAATGTAGCCACTACTTAATATTTCACACTGATAAGTTTTATTTCAGTATGAGTTTGTCAGACTATTTCTGTCCCTAGTAAGTTCCAAATATTTTAAGTCAAGTTAGTTAGCAAGTTTATTTCTGAATTCTTAGAAGACCTACTTGGTTCTTGAATTGTAATTGTTTTGGGAGAAGAAAAGCTATATTCTACAAATGTAAAAGCAAAGCTGAATTCTGCTTTAGGTGAACTTCTCAAACAACTATAGAACTGCAAACAGCACTTTTATGATGCCGATTTAAATATATGTATTTGTACAAGAAATAAGATGGACTTTGGCCTCCATTATGAATCACAATTGATAATATATTTACAGCTATTTTAGTTTCCTGCTGCATGTTAATCAGGGACCTCTCTACATGAAATTGTGTATTACCTAATACTAAACAATTTAAATATTTAAGACTGAACCTATCAAATGATCAACCTATATAAGCTGTGATTGATAACATGCAATGTTAATAGTCATGTTACAGCTGCAGTTTGTAACTGAATAATCCAGACCTCAAACGAAAGCCCTAAATAATCCAGACCTCAGGCACTGGTTGCAAAAGAAGGAAAGGAAATAAGTTCTCTTCAGGAATGTGGAATAAAAGTAAAATTCTTGCAAATAATTTGAAGAAGGCAGAACAAGAGAGGAAATAACACAGTTTACAGGAAGGTTAATCTGCAGTTTTTGGAACAACGCACATTGGGACACTTTCTTGGAACGTATTTCAGTTCCTCCTGCTACTTCACAGGAAAACATTTTTGGGTCGCCCTAGAGGTCTGATGGACCAAGAATGGTTTGCTGTGATCCGTTCTACAAATACACAACTTAGATGTGGCAGCCAGAAATTAATGATAAAGCAGTACAGTGCAGGTAAAAGACACACCCTTATTTGCCAATGATATACAGAAATTGCAGTCAACAAGGAAAATACAAATAGGGACTTCACAATAGGCAGGGCCGTCAATCCGTAGGGTTTTCAGATACCCTTAGCTACAATTTAGTTTTTACCTCCTTATGAGCTGGTAAAGTATTACCTGACACATTTCTCCGAGTTAGATTTAGTTTCCAGTTTCTGGAATAATACATCATCGGGACAATGTTTCCTGGAATATATTACATGATGAGAATTCCTCTCCATTTCATACTGTTACTTCATGATAAATTGTTCCTATTATCTCAGGTAAAAAGAAATATGGTTAGGACACTAACCTTTCCATTAGTTTTGTCCATATTCAAACAAGGTTTAAAATACAAAGTTTGAAAGATCTTGAAAAGGAGCTTATTTAGAGATCAATGATTACACGTTACCAAATAACAAAAATCACAAATTGTGTATTTATAATAGTACACAAATATTTTATCTTTATACTTTTGCATCAGTTATTTCAAAGGGACCTTAAAACCACCCTTCTAAATGTATTGCACTGCCATAGTAAAGTTCACAGTAATTTCATTTATGTACTTTAGTTACACACTATAACAACTTGGCACCCAAATATTTTAGGTATTTAAAAAAGGTGTTTCTACATTAAGTTCTGCCATTCCTTTTCTATTAAAAACATTGCGTAAACAAGAAGCGTAACCCACTTTGTTTTCAAACGAGTTACATGCGATTTTGCAAACTGGTGAGAGAGGGATGTGTTTCACGTGGTTATTGGTAATTATAAAGAAAGTTCTCCAGTCCAATATGGAAAAGTGTAGCAGAGGTGGCGTGGTATGCCTCTTTCAGATTCCATAATGGAAGAATCCTAATCTAGTATAGGGAATCTTCTTTGCGTAATCCGCATCATTGTTTTTCCCCTACTGAATGGCAGTAATGTCATGTCTCATCTTCTCTGAATCCTGAGGAGAAAAATAAATAAATAATGAACAGCCGCACTCATGCTATTGAAAGGCAACTTATTTCCAAATGTAGCACCTAGTTATTTTAGGCCAGTATAAGTATTTCTAAGCTATTTTTGATAGAACTCTGATGGATCCCTTGATTATCTCAGCCTAAGTCTGTCAGATCAGATATTGTGCTGGTTGAAGACTCTAGGTTTGGTGCTAGATTATAACAACAACTTAGTCAAAGTTCTTTAAAAGTTCCCTTTCATTTCTGTACTGTAAGGACAAATCTAATGATCTCAGAAATGTAGTTATTAGCTAAAAAGGTATCTATAAGTCTAATAACTTCAGGTTGGGACATAAAGTTTAATGTTAGCTAGAACCAGAAGCAGAAAAAAACAAGGCATTTGGTAATGAAAGGTCTTAATTGCAGTGGTAGTTAATGATAAACTAAATGTGACCAGGTAACCTTTTGCAGCTCCCTTCCTTGTACAGGTGTTGCATAAACTAGCGTGAGTTCCCTGTACAGTATCTCAGTACCTACAGAATATCCTCTTGTAATCTGTGAATGCAAGTACAAGGAGAATAGCAACAGCATTTTTAGCAAACAAGAACTTTTTCTTGTTTCTCTTTCTTGCTTTCCCTGAGAGGGGAGAACATACCTCTCAAAACAATAAAGAAATTAATCTCAAAACATGCCATGCTGAGACTTTAAGAAGCTCAACAGTCTGTGCTGTAGTTGCCCATGTCACAACAAAGTATGTTAGTTTTTCTGAAGTAACATTTTATTCAGCAAATGACAGATTTCCATGGTCACTCTCACTTCTTTGTTAGCATTGGACAACATTTTTTATCAGGGCTTGAAAGGTGACTTTTGGAAGTGAAAGTTGAGCTGCTAAATCATGTGAGCACTTGCAACTATTTTATCCATTGCATATAGTAGTAAGCTCCTGCAGAAGTTATTAAAGGCTCCTAGTGAGAAATAATGGACTACCACTTACTTACAGCTTGTAAACTCTTGGCTGCAATTGGGCTTCTGGGCCTGCTGCAAGAAGCAGATGCCTTATTCAAAGTCACCTTTTCAATTTTGTATTCTGCAGCACAGAAAGACTCCAGGTCACTAGACATCTCACCCCCTATGATCATCATGGCTAATGTGTTCAGCCCCTTTGCGGTACTGTCCTGTTTCTATAGCAGATACTCAAACTGGCACACAGGGACAGGTTGGAACTGCATCATCTCACTGGTACGTCTCTACGAGCGATCTGGGGCAGCGTTTGTACAGCGCCTAGGAGGCTGTACAATAGAGCGTCAACACTTTTAAGATGTGAAGCACCAGCTCCAACCAGATGCCAACCCAGCGTGCCCTTAGCCCTGGTTTACCAGCCCAGCCTCAAGCAGGAGAAGGCCTGAAGGATCTCGGCTTTCGGGCATCTTTGCTGGTTACTGGAGCAGACACAGCTCAGACCCACGGGGTGGGAGCTGGAAACAAGCGACTTAGCTGCGCCCTATTTTGTTGCTAGTCGCCACTGGTGCTGGTTTGTAGCTATGTGGTTGCCAGCTGCTAGAGCGTCCGGGCGGGGCAGAGCGGGGCCTGCAGTTGCCACCGACCGAGTGAGTCAGCTCATCCCCGCCCGGGCTGGCTGTCCCGCGGCTCCCGTCCCGTCCCGTCCCGTCCCGCTCACCTGGCGGCGCGGCTCAGACGGGCGGGCTGCGGGCGGGCTGCAGCTCCACGGCCGGGGCCGG